CACCCTTCGTGCTAGATTTATCATATATTTTACTTCTACATTCTTATTATTTTTGCTTTAAAAGGCCCAAATCTTTTTTAAAAGTTAAAAAAATTCCCTTATATTTGTCCACATATTTACATTCTCTGGTTCTCTCCACTTATTTCTGGCAATTTGGGCTTCCATGTGGGATTCTTTTCCTTCAGCCTACAAGTTTTCCTTTACTGTTTCTTGTAGTGTAGGTCTTCTAGCAATACTCTCAGCGTTTATTTCTCCAAAAATTCCTGAATTTCGCCTTTTTCTTAAATTTTTTAAATTGAGGTATATTAGTTTCAGGTGCACAATATAATTATTTGATATTTGTATATATTGCAAAATGATCACTGCAATAAGAGTCTAGTTAACATCCGTCATCGTACATAGTTTAAAAATATTTTTCTTGTGATAAGAACTTTTGAGATCTACTCTCTTAGTCACTTTCAAATATACAATACAATATTATTAACTATAGTCACCATGCTGTACATTACAATCTCATAACTTATTTACTTTATAACTGGAAGTTTGTACCTTTTGATGCCCTTCATTTTGCTCACCCTCCCACCCCCCTCCTTTGGCAACCACCAATCTGTTCTCTGTACCTATGAGCTTGATTGTTTGCTGTATTAGATTCCACTGTAAGTGAGATCATATGGTATTGTTCTCTGTCTGACTTTTTTCACCTAGCATAATGCCCTTCAGGTCCATCCATGTTGTTGCAAATGGCAAGATTTCCTTCTTTTTTTTTTTTTTTTTTGCTGAGGAATATTCACCCTGAGCTAACATCTGTTGCCAATCTTCCTCTTTTTGTATGTGAGCTGCCGCCATAGCATGGCCACTGACAGATGAGTGGTGCAGGTCTCTGCCCGGGAACCGAACCTGGACTGCCAAAGTGGAACGTGCCAAACTTAACCACTAGGCCACCAGGGCTGGCCCAAGATTTCTTTCTTTTTCATGGCTGAATAATATTCCATTGTGTATATACCACAATTTCATTATCCATTCGTCCACTGATGGACACTTACGTTGTTTTCATATCTTGGCTATTGTAAATAATGCTTCAGTGAACATGGGGGTGCGTATAACTTTTCAAGTTAGAGTTTTCATTTTCTTTGGACAAATACCAAGAAGTGAAATTGCTGGATCATATGATAGTTTTATTTTTAATTTTTTGCACAACTTCCATAATGTTTTAAATAGTGCTGCACCAGGGCCGGTCCCGTGGCTTAGCGGTTAAGTGCGCAGGCTCCGCTACTGGCGGCCTGGGTTCGGACCCCGGGCGCACACCGACGCACCACTTCTCCGGCCATGCTGAGTCTGCGTCCCACATAAAGCAACTAGAAGGATGTGCAACTATGACATACAACTATCTACTGGGGCTTTGGGCAGGGGGAAAGAGGAGGAGGATTGCCAATAGATGTTAGCTCAGGGCCGGTCTTCCTCAGCAAAAAGAGGAGGATTAGAGAAGGAAAGTCTCAATAGCTTATATGGGTATACTCTGCTGTTCTGAAGGTAGGACTGTTTTTTTGTGGAGTCCCTCCTCTGAGACAGTCTTCTGCCTGGAACAGGGCAGAACAAAGCTTTATTGACTGATAGGCTTTGGTTTGTGGTGAATCAACACAGAGCTGACTATGAGGATATGGACTTTCCACATGCCAGAATGAGACGTTCACTCTTGAAGCTTTAGATCTCCCTTAGATAATCCAATCAGCTATTTAAAGTATGATAAATGCTAGCAGTCTCTAAGCTAGCATTATCTTATCTATCTTATCATTCATATCGTATATCTATCTTATCTTGTCACGGATATGGCAATCCATGCAATGGAGAGAGGAGCAGAGTCGCTGACTGGTGCTGTTGTACCATTTACAAACCCTTGATTAATTTCCCTCTCATCAGCCCCTTTTCTCGCTCCTGCCTTTAGCTGTATACTCTCTCTAAGCCCAGAGATTCTTTCACTTTCCGTTGTCAGATGGATTTCTGTAGCTCCCTCACATATTCAAGGCTGCAGCTTTCTCCACCTATTTGCATCCTTCAACTTGGCCCTATCTGCTTTCACCCCCCAGAACTATGTGACAGCCACTCTTTCTTCTCCCCCAATTCTCTTCATGGTGGTATGTTTATACCTTTTTGTATTTCTGTACTTTTATTTTAGTTAAGTCTTGTGTGCCCTCTCTGCCATCTTGAACTAACTTGGTTTTGTTCTTATTTCCTTCTCTCCCTTCACCCCACCCATCCTCTTTTTCACTTAATCAAAACTTCCATTTGGGGCCAGCCCTCTGGCTTAGCAGTTAAGTGCGCGCGCTCCGCTGCTGGCGGCCCGGGTTCGGGTCCCGGGCGCGCACCGACGCACCGCTTCTCCGGCCATGCTGAGGCCGCATCCCACATACAGCAACTAGAAAGATGTGCAACTATGACATACAACTATCTACTGGGGCTTTGGGGAAAAAAAAGGAGGAGCATTGGCGATAGACGTTAGCTCAGAGCCGGTCTTCCTCAGCAAAAAGAGGAGGATTAGCACGGATGTTAGCTCAGGGCTGATCTTCCTCACCAAAACAAAAAAAAACTTCCATTCATTTAGTTTATCTGCTCTCAGCTTGGTGTTGGGCAAGATAGCAAATAGATTAATTTTAAAGGAGGTGCGTGTTTATTCAAATAAATATCTAGTTAGTAAAATTCCATGAAATATGACTAACTGTAAGTCATATTACCGGCTGTGTAAGGTAACTAGTGATTTGTGTGTGTGTGTGTGAGGAAGATTAGCCCAGAGCTAACATCCGTTGCCAATCCTCCTCTTTTTGCTGAGGAAGAGTCGCCCTAGGCTAACTTCCATGCCCATCTTCTTCTACTTTATATGGGAAGCCGCCACAGCATGGCTTGACAAGTGGTGCATCCGTCCACACCGGGATCTGAACCTGCGATCCCTGGGCCGCCAAAGTGGAGCACGTGAACTTAACCACTAGGACACCAGGCCAGCCCCTGATTTTTTTAAATTTCAGTGATTTTTTTTAGTTTCTTTCTAGATGTTCTATTTGATTATTTTACAATATTTCCAAGTATTTCTTTTCTTATGTCTTTATTCTTTTTAAATTGTCTTGAGTTTCTTTGAAAATAAATATTTTATAGTGTCTGTCTAGTGGTTCTATTGGCTAAGGTTTTTTGATATCTAATCTCATTCTTTGTTGTATCCATCAACTTTTGCTCATAGAGGATTACTTCTTATTTTGTAAGTTTTTATTTTAAGTTCAGATGCAGTGGAGCTTTACCTTTCGGACTTTATGCAGTCGGGAATCAGGAGTGTCTATTAGGGATATTTTGAACTGGCATTTACTAAGTACCCTAAGGATAGTTCCCTGAGAAGACACTTTTTCTGCTAGGTTTAGGGTTTGGCGGTTCCCAAACCATGCAAATCATGTAAATCTGAGCCCTAAACATAATTCAATTGAGGCTTATTCTATGTATGAATTCCTAGAGGTGATTTTGCCACCCAGAGACCAGCTAAGACAAACAAACTGCCTTGTCATCTCCTTTTGTCAGTAGAATCATATTTTCTGGCCCATTCTTTTAATAAAAGTTCAGTCCTTCAAGTGTTCCAGTTTTGTGGAGTGGCAGTAATCAGAGGGGAGGAGACAAGAATCTTAGTTCTAACTTCCAGCCTTGAGCTTGTCAAAATCCTCCTCTTTTACCCTCGACAGTTCTATGCAGCCAAAAAGGGGTCACAGGTTAAGAATGCACTTAAGCTGTTTTAAGAACCTGAAAAAGAATTAGAAATTGTGATTCATAGTAAATGAAGTTAGCCATTTAATTTGCAGATGGCAGTTCACAGTGCAACCATCTGCCCTTCACAGAAACCCATGGATTCCCCTATAATTAGGCCTTTCCTTTGTATCTGGTTGCCAGAAACAAGATGTCTGCTACCTTATCCTTACTCACCCTGTCCACCTCTACTTCCTACACATAATCTAAGATACTTTATGTTCTCCCAAAGACCAGGTTTACTTTTTTCCCAGCACTCACTCCCTTTAATAATTTATACCAAATATCAACTGAGTTATGTTTCAATACAAAGATTTAGTCTTTTCCTGTTAAAAAATTTGGCACCGTGTCGCTGTGATTTTCAATAAATTTGCTAATTCTTATCGCAACCAATCATCTTTTTATTCATGATGGAAAAGCTACTTTAAAATATAAAATGAAGGGCCCAGCCCTGTGGCCGAGTGGTTAAAGTTCCGCGCACTCCACTTCAGTGGCCCGGGTTCACAGGTTTGGATCCTGGGTGTGGACCTACTGCACTCACCAGCCATGCTGTGGCGGTGTCCCACATATAAAGTAGAGGAAAATTGGCATGGATGGAAGCTCAGGGCTGATCTTCCTCAAGGAAAAAAAGAGGAAGATTGACAATGGATGTTAGCTCAGGGCAAATCTTCCTCAGCAAAAAAATAATAATAATAATAAAATAAAATATAAAATGAAGTAAATCTAATCATATTGCCATGACATTTTTTAAATGTCATATATTATGAAAAATATTTAGCACTTTAAAGGATTCACGTATAGTTTAAAAATATTTTTTACAATAAAAATGCTTTGTTTAAAACTTGTCCCATAAATTGACAGAGATTTTGGATGTATGTTAAACAGATATTTCATCAGTCATACTAGCACACATTAGGCTATGCTAGGTATCATATATAATGATATATATGATATGTATCATATATAATGATACATAGTATTATGGCTATTACAGATATTTCATCAATCATACTAGCACACAACATTAGCCTACACTATGTATCATTATATATCATACATATCATATATATCGTTATATATGATACATAGTATTATGGCTATTAATATGATATTTGATATTAATATGATATTAATTAATGATAGTTAATAAAATAGAATTTATCTTTTATATGTATAGATCTATGTCTATGTGGATCTATAGATATGTGCTCTTTTTTATATTTCAGGAGTTGTACTTTTTATGATATGGTGTATAACCTGGTCACTCTCAGGCCCTGAAGTTCTCCCTGGTGGAAATTTATTTGGAGTGTTAATTATCTTTTATAGTTCCATTATTGGGGGGAAACTTTTGGAACTCATTAGAATACCTTCAGTGCCTCAACTTCCACCTCTTCTTGGTAAGTGTATAATTACCTCTCATTTCTTTGTTATTGACTATATGTAAATTATGAACATATTCTAGTCAGAGTAGATATAATTTAGAAATATTTCAATGTAAAATGATCTATATAGCTTTTTATATATGTATTTACTATATATGTGTATATATGGCTCATTTGTAGAGTATTTATTCTCTCTATACATACACACACACAGATTTTTTCTGAAATGTATTATTAAAAGAATTTAAATATACTCAATAAATGATTCCTTTTGCTTTATCACTTAATGGACTTTTTTTTACTTAATTTTATGTAGTATGGAAAAGTAAAAATTTGGAAAAGACATAATTTTTTCTATAGATAACCCAACTCAAATACAATAATAAGATTCAAATATTATAGTGACTAGGACAACAAAGGGTCCTGTGGTTTGGGGGCATCTCCACCCTGTATATTCATGGATTCATCCTCTGGCTAACCAGAGTTATACCCTGTTTCTTCATCACCATTATTATATAACTCTCCAGCTGGACAGAGGAAAATTAGTGGAACAACTTCCATCAGAGCTGTCTCCTTTCTTCTAAGTATTCAATACATCCAAATATTCAGTACAATGTCAATAGAGATACTGTCTCCATCTTATTTCTAACACCCTTTCTATGTCTATAACACCCTTTCAGCACCTCCTAAGTATTCATTGAATCTTTTCTCCTCCTCTCCAAAACTTCCACTCTTGCCCTAGCTTAGGCTATTTGTTTCCACATATTCCGTGGACTATGGCAGAGACTTCTAATTGGTTTCTCCTCCAGTTTTATATCTAGCTAATTCACGAAGACTATCACCTAGAAAGTGCAAGGCTCATTGTGTCATTTCCCAGCTAAAACTTTGCCATGGTGCCTTCCTCTGCCAAAGCAGGGGTGGGGATATCTTTCCACTATCTGTCCCCTCCTGCCCATTCTCCCCCTCCTATCCTTGCCCCTTATGTTCTAGCAACATTGAATTACTTGTTGAACCCTATTGAGAAATGTCATTTCTTATCTTTATTCCTTTATTTATGCTGCCTCTTCTACTTGTATGTAACCTGCCCTTCACCAAAGTAATTAGAGACATAGTGTGTTTGAAGAGGGGAAATTAAACATTTCTGTTTTCTCTCTTGGAAAAAATGAACTGAATCAGACATGCTTTATTTTCTTTCTTTTAAGGCATGTTACTGGCTGGCTTTACCATCAGGAATGTTCCATTCATCAGTGAGCATGTCCATATTAGTAACACGTGGTCTTCAACGTTAAGAAACACTGCCCTTACCATTATCCTAATACGAGCTGGGCTTGGACTTGATCCCCAGGTAGATTTCCAAGTATACCTTGAGTAAAGTTATTTTAAATATTAGAGGCTGGTGGAAAAAAAAAAGAGGCAGAATTTTTATTATAGCTCTTCCAAGTGGAGTCCGTAAGCAAAACTAAGATAAAGAACAAAAATTTTGCAGAAATATTGGCAACTTAATTTCTACTTGTGGTCATATTATTACTGATAGGAAGAGAAATCACTGTGATGTCAGATCTCTGTTAGAGATGGGACACTTGCATAAAGATAAATGTCCCTTATGCAGCATTTGTATTATGTGGGAGTTGTGGCTTTCCTATGCAGAACTACTTTTCAGTTAACAAAGGATAAGTTCACCCCATAAAAGGTTTTTGCTTTTGTTTTGTTTTGTTTTATTTTTTCAGAGATTAAGATCTTCAGATATTTTTGTTTTATGATTTTTTCCCACAGAAGTACATTCCTAATTACCTTTGCATTATTGTAAAAGCTAATCTTTAAAAATATTTCTTAAAATATTACTATAAATCTATTTGGACATTAAAAAGATGACTGCTAATGAATATTATGAATATATCATAAATATAGCTACTCGAATGTGACAAATGTTTAAGTTTAGTGAAAATATCTCAAGAGCATAAATAATTATAGACAGTGATAATTTACTATATTCTCCAGTAGAAAATTTGAACCAATGAGAAAATTTTAAAATTCTCCCTTTTAGTTAATTATGCGGTTTTTAAATGATTTTCTCTTTTGGCATGTTGATATTTTCTATTTGTAATTATTACATTAATTAAACAGTTCATCTCTAAAAGTTGACTGATGGAAATATACCTGTAGGATACTTTCATTATACTATTTACTAGGAAGATTAAGCAAGGTAGAAATAGTTAATCACAGAGAATTGGATCTTTTTTAATAATTAAAATTCAACGATGTTTTATAAAATGTGAAATAGTTTATATTCTAATCTATGACGACATATAAAATGAGCTGTGTTAGCATTTCAAGCCCAGTGGGACAATCTGGGAGATTTAATTTAGTATAAGCTCATTACTCAAAAAAGACTATGTATTTCAAGATATGCTTAAATAATTTTATTATTGGTCATTATAAGTTTGTCTAAATGTGCCTATGTTTATATTTCAGGCTTTGAAGCATTTGAAGGGAGTTTGTTTAAGGTTGTCTATGGGTCCATGCCTTATGGAGGCATGTTCAGCTGCTGTTATTTCCCACTTCCTTATGAATTTTTCCTGGCAGTGGGGATTTCTCTTAGGGTAACTTTTTCTCATTTTTCCCTATGAAAATATTCAGTTAAGGATGCTTGGTTTAAAATTATTGAAATATTCAGAATATTGTATAGACAAGCTTCTCATTAAAATTCTTTTCACAGTGGTAGAAAACCTGGGAAATCAGTTGGTCAGAAGCAGAGCCAGGTCCTAAATCCACCATATCCTTGACAAACATGCCTAGTCCCTAAATGTTTAATGCCAAGATAATTCACTTCATCAGTTTATTCCTTCTCCCCTACACTGTAATCAATCTCTATTTTTTAACCCATCTAATGGCCTCTTCCTTATACACTATATGTATTATATACATCAGAAATATTTTATATAGATATAAGTTTAGTTTTTAAGTTCAGTTTTTTAAATTCTTTAAAGCAACTAGAATTTATTATGTATGGGGATCTTGATACATTTTTTCCCACAACACCATTTGTAGAAAAGTCCTTTCTTCCCCCACTGATTTGAAATGTCAATTTTACCACGTAACAAATCCCATAGATTTGTTTCTATGCTTTGTATTCTATTTTCTTCCAATTGTTTTTGTCTATTTTTATGTCACTATTGCACCGTCTTAACCATTTTACCTTTACAAAAACAGTGTGTTCTTTTTTACATTGACTTAGTTTTTTCATTCTAAGCTCTTATTCTCCCAAATGAATTTTAAAATCAGCTAGTCAAGTGCAATGAAAAATCCTGAGAGGATTTTAAATGGCATAGCACTGAATTAACAAATTAATTTGAGGAAGAGATGACATTTTTATAATATTGAGGCTTTTTATCCACAAATGTGAAACGTCTCTCCAATTATTCAGGTGTTATCTTAAGTACTATGGTGTTCATAATTTTTATAAAGGTCTAGACTATCTTCATAGTTTTGTTCTTAGATATTTTGTGTTTTTTATTGATGTTGTGAGTAGAATTTTTTCCATAACATTTTCTAATTAGTTTTTTCAGATGTATAAGAAAGCTACTCATTTTTTAAATCACTTTTGTTGAGGTATAGTTTACACACAATAAAATGAGCACTCATTTTTAGTGAACATTTTAATGAGTTTTGACAAATTTATACACCCATGTAACCAACAGCACAACTGAAATGCAGAATATTTTCATTACCCCCCCCCAAATTCTCTTGTGTCCCACCCCAGTCAATTTCCACACTGGCCCCAGGCAACCCATAATCTATTTTCTGTCACAATAGATGAGATTTTCTTAGAGTTTTAAACAAACGTAATTATATAGTGTATACTCTTGACTCTGGCTGCTTTTGGTCAGCAAGCTGTTTCTGAGCTGCATCCATATTATGACTAGTTGTTCATCCATTTTATTGCAGAGCAATATTTCATTGTATGAATATACCACCAACTTGATCCATCTACTTGTTGATGGATATTTGGATTATGTCCAGTTTGGGGCTGTTACAAATAAAGCACTATGAGTTATGCATTCAAGTCTTTGTGTGGACATTTCTTTTCATTTCTTAGGAGATAATTAGGAGTAGCATTGCTGGGTCGTATGGTAAGATGTTTAATTTTATTAAGAAACTGCCACACAGTTTTCCAAAGTATTGTAGTATTTCATATTCCCCCAAGCAATGTATGAAATTCCAGGCCATCTGTGTCCTCTCCAATACTTGATAGTGTCTGTCTATTTAATTTTAGCATTTTTTAGTGGGTGTGTGGTGGTATCAGGTTGTGGTTTTATGGTTTTTCATCAAATTTGGAAATTTTTCAGCCATTATTTCTTAAATATTGTGCCCCCTTCTCTTTCTTCTTTTTCTGGAACTACAATTACAGATGTGTTAACTGCTTAATATTATTCCATAGATCCCTGATACTCTATTAATTTTTTTTCAGTCATGTTACTCTCTGTGCTTCATTTTGGGTATATTCTATTGCTATGTCTTCAAGTTAACTGATCTTTTCTTCTGCAGCATTCAACCTTCTGTTAATCTTATCAAGTGAAATTTTCAATTAATATATTGCATTTGTGTGTGTGTGCGTGAGAAAGATCAGCACTGAGCTAACATTCATGCCAACTCTCCTCTTTTTTTTGCTGAGGAAGACCAGCCCTGAGCTAACATCTATTGCCAATCCTCCTCCTTTTTCTCCCTAAAGCCCCAGTAGATAGCTGTATGTCAACATTGCACATCCTTCTAGTTGCTGTATGTGGGACGCCGCCTCAGCATGGCCAGACAAGCGGTGTGTCAGTGCATGCCCGGGATCTGAACCTGGGCCACCAGTAGCAGAGCGCATGCACTTAACCACTAAGCCACTGGGCCGGCCCCATATATTGCATTTTTTTTTATTGTCATAAGCTATCATACATTTTTATTTTTATTTTTTCCAACTTTATTGAGATATAATTGACATATAATATTATGTAAGTTTAAGGAGTACAATGTGTTAATTTGATACACTTATATATTGCAAAATGATTACCAACATAGCATTAGCTAGCACCCCATCTCATTACAAAATTATCATTTCCTTTTCGTGGTGAGAACATTTAAGATCTATTCTCTTAGCAACTTTCAAGTATATAATACGGTATTATTAGCTATAATCACCATGCTGTACATTAGATCCCCAAAACTTATTCATCTTATAACTACATATGTATATATGTGTAGGTACCACATCTTCTTTATCCATTCATTCATTGACAGACACTTAGGTTGTTTCCTTCAATTAATTTTTGTGTATGGTGTCCAATAATGGTCTAGTTTCATTCTTTTGTGTGTCGCTGTCCAGTTTTCCCAGCACCACCTATTGAAGAGACTTTCCTTTATCCATTATATGTTCTTGGCTCCTTTGTTGAAAATTAGCTGTCCACAGATGTGTGGGTTTGTTTCTGGGCTCTCAGTTCTATTCCATTGATCTGTGTGTCTGGTTTTGTGCTGGTACTGTGCTGTTTTGATGACTATAGCTTTGTAGTATATTTTGAAATCAGGAAGAGTGATACCTCCAGCTTTGTTTTTTTCCTCAGGATTGCTTTGGCTATTCGGGGTCTTTTGTGGTTCCATATATATTTTAGAATTCTTTGTTCTATTTCTGTGAAAAATGTTGGGATTTTGATATGGATTGCATTGAATCTGTAGATTGCTTTAGGTTTTATGGAAATTTTAACTTTAATTCTTCCAATCCATGAGCACAGAATATCTTTCCATTTGTGTCGTCTTCAATTTCTTTCAACAGTGTCTTATCATTTTCATTGTACATGTCTTTCACCTCTTTGGTTAAGTTTATAGATATTTTATTCTTTTTATTGTGATTGTAAATGGGATTGTTTTCTTAATTTATTTGATAGTTTGTCATTAGTGTAAAGAAATGCACCAGATTTTTGTGTATTGATTTTGGATCCTGCAACTTTACTGAACTCGTTTATTAGTTCTAACAGTTTTTTGATGGAGTCTTTAGGGTTTTCTATATATAATATCATGTCATCTGAAAATAGTGACAGTTTTGCTTCTTCCTTTCCAATTTGGATCCCTTTTATTTCTTTCTCTTTTTGCCTAATTGCTCTGGCTAGGACTTCTGATACTATGTTAAATAAGAGTGGTGAGAGTGGGCATCCTTGTCTTGTTCCTATTCCTAGAGGGATATCTTTCAGTTTTTCACCATTGAGTATGATGTAGCTATGGGTTTGTCATATATGGTGTTTCTTATGTTGAGGTACTTTCCTTTTTACTGAGGTACCCATTTTACTGAGAGTTATTATCATAAATGGATGCTAAATCTTGTCAAATGCTTTCTCTGTGTCTATTGAGAGGATTATATGATTTTTATTCTTCATTTTGTTAATGTGGTGTATCATGTTGATTGATTTGCAGATGTTGAACAATCCTTGCATCCCTGGGGGAAAAAAGCCACTTGATCATGGTATATGATCTTTTTAATGTATTGGTGTACTAGGTTTGCTAATATTTTGTTGAGGATTCTTGCATCTATGTTCATCAGCTTTATTGGCCTGTAATTTTTGTTTGTGTGTGTTATCCTTATCTGGTTCTCGTATCAGGGTAAAGTTGTAAAATGGGTTAGGAAGCATCCCCACCTCTTCGATTTGTGGGAAGAGTTTGAGAAGGATAGGTATTAAATCTTCTTTTAATGTTTGGTAGAATTGACCAAAGAAGCCATCTGGTCCTGGACTTTTGTTTTTTGGGAGGCTTTTGATTAGTGTTTCAGTCTCCTTACTAGTCTATTCAGATTCTCTGTTTCTTCTTGATTCAGTTTTGGAAGGTTGTATGACTCTAGGAATTTATCCATTTCTTCTTTGTTGGGGTATAGCTTTTCATAGCATTCTTTTATAATCCTTAGTATTTCTGTAGTATCTGTTGTAATTTCTCCTCTTTCATTTCTGATTTTATTTATTTGAGCCTTCTCTCTTTTTTTTCTTAGTGAGCTAGCTAAAGGTTTTTCAATTTTGTTTATCTTTCAAAGAGCCAGCTCTTAGTTTCTTTTATCTTTTCTACTGTCTTTTTAGTCTTTATTTTATTTATTTATGCTCTGATTTTTTTAAAATTTATTTATTTATTTTTTTGAATGAGGAAGATCAGACCTGAGCTAATATCCGTTGCCAATCCTCCTCTTTTTGCTGAGGAAGATTCGCCCTAGGCTAATATCTGTGCCCATCTTCCTCTACTTTATATGTGGAACACCTGCCACAGCATGGCTTGATAAGTGATGCATAGGTCCGCACCTGGGATTCAAACCTGCAAACCCTAGGCCCCCAAAGCGGAGCATGCAAACTTAGCCACTACACCACCAGGCCAGCCTTCTGCTCTGATTTTCATTATTTCCTTCCTTTTACTGACTTTGGGCTTTGTTCATATTTTTCTAGTTCCTTTAGGTACACTCTTAGATTGTTTATTTGATATTTTTCTTGTTTGATGAGGTAGGCCTGTATTGCTATAAACTTCCCTCTTAGTATGACTTTTACTGTGTCACATAAATTTTGGCATGTCGTATTTTTATTTTCATTTGTCTCCA